TTGCAAAATTATATAAGTTGGGTGAAAATATGATACACACCAGATTGTTTGGAATTGTTTGAGGACAATTAATCCCAAATAATAAAATCGGCTTTTATAAAACAATATGGCATCTATCATATAATAATATCACACGATTACAACAAGTGTTTGATTGCAGAAAAAAATCTAAACATAATAAACAGCTGCAAGTGCCAACTGATATCAACTGTCTGACGTCATAACAAACGTCTGACGTCATAACAAACATAAAGGAGAACAGCGAAACTGCGTAAGAATGGATTTTAAGGACATGGACACTTTCATTTTCCGTACATCTATTATCACAATAATAACAATAATATCATAGTAACATATCTTTGTGTATTTCCTTTACTTTGTAAACTTTCTTTGAAATCAACGTTACAAGACTAACAAGGTCCAACTCTACTTATACGAAGATCGAAGGCAAGTATATAGCAAATTGAAGCACATATGTATGCTCTTTGAATGATAAAACAAAACCAACGGTAACAGTTTATATTAACACAGTTATATATTGTACCGCAATATAATGGTATAAAGTGAAAATCTTGTAATTCAAACTCCGACCATCCTGACGTACTCTTGCAGTTTTACTGTAATTTTGATGGCTCTTAAATCGCAATATTAAGTGTATGCAAACGATAAAAATAAATATGCCAAATAAAAAGAGTAACGAGTTTGATATGAATAACATATCTCAACAGAAGTGCGTGTCACACACATTAAACAGACCTAAGGATATGTCCGTTTCATTACAGAGATCACAATTCTTTATCAGTTGATGTTTTATATTTAAGAGACACCTAGCAAGTCCAAACATAAGTAAACACCCGTTGATAATACAGAGCAATCATTGTCTGGAAGGTATTAAACAAAACGCTTTCTTGGAAATCTTACAATCAATGCTTTTCGGGGACAGTCCTTTCAGAAAAGTGAAGTTCAGACTTACATTGCAAATACATGTAAATGTACGTTTTATATCAATATTATTCTTTCAGAGCTACAACGACGTTCAGACACATACACAAAACATGCATACGAATTCATACACGACACAGAATACATTAACGACTCTCACCAGACGTATATTTACAATACCGCATACATACATGACACAGAACTAGAACTCCCATCAGACGTAGAATGTAGCACATAGATCGACAGAGAACAGATTCACACAGGTGGGAGTACACTCTGTAGGGGAGATCACAAATACGATACAAATCGAATCAATCATTGTTTTCTATATATCATCCTTTACGAAAACACACTCAGTGCTGTATTATATTATGCTTAGATTGGCAGGGTCTGAATGATGCACAGACGAGATTTTCCCGAATCATTAATAAAAGGGACAGAAATAAGTGTGAGAAAATAAATTATCCAACAGTTTCCAGCTGCACTTAGCATAACTCTCCACCTATACCTTAAATTTATACACGGAACATTACAAATAATTCAAAACAAATATGTCTTGTTCCTATTCCTTGTCTTATATGGAAGAGGACGCTCAAACGATTTGAAAAAATGCGTATACCCTAACGGTTAAGAAAAATTGCATGTACCCTAACACTTTGGCTAGATGCGTAATGGAATAATTCAACGAGTTTCACAAATTAGGTACACAAAATAAGTACAAGACATTGTCACATGACTCAGACTTAGGAAAAAAGGTAAAAAGGTTGTTTCTTTTTAAGTAAGCATATACAAAAAGATTTAATGATCAAACGTACAGAAAATATGTCATCCAGTTTGCGATAAATGGACAATGCATATGTAAAATCTTTTCATTAATGCTTGTTTAAACATGATCGAGTTTGCATCACATGAAAAATTCACAGAATGTTCAAAAAAGAATAATCATGAAGCCTTCCATGCTAATTTTCGAATAGAAATGACAAAACAATGCAATATAGAAAACAGAAATCCGGTACATTATTCAAGAGAACAGCTGGTAGCAAAGAAACAAAATTCTTGGTATCGACCTTGATTTTTACATGTTACTGTACAAATGTCAGATATATATGATTCTTTATCTATAGATACATTACACGGAAGCAACGAACACTTTGATTTGATTCCGATCTTTCTGGAATATATATACCAAAAGCACATGGTAATACAAGTACATGTTGTATTAATCAACCGACAGGTTGTTGGGACATGTATTATATACAACCGTGTATGCGATCACAATGGTTTCTGTCCCCAGGCCAGGACATACCAAAGCCCTTAAAAATGGTAGTTGTTATTCCCTACTTAACGTTCAGCATTTAGGGGAATGGTAACAACTGGTTCACCCGTTGTCAGTATAATGTGACCGGGCGGAATGCTATGCTGGGTGCCTTTGTCAAGGTATTTCAGTGAGGTAGCACTATATAGTCGGCATCAGATCCGCGCTATCACAAGGAGTCAAGCACACAAACATACCCTGTCTCCTGAATACACACACGCAAGCACTCATACACTACATACCTGGAGGCACGTCATTAAATGGCCTAAGATGTTAATAGGACGTTTAACAATATTAAACCAAACCAAACGATCACAACGTAATATCAACTCTCATTGGCAATTGTACCGATAATTTTTCTGCACTAGTATAGGCGATATACGTTGGGATTATATTAAGCTCCTTCAAAATGATCTAAGCCCCAGATTATGGTATACATTACCGACGCCCGTTAAACACTAGTATGTGTCCTGTGTAGCTGACAGTTTATATATGATGTTCATTTCAACACCTAAACCACAAAAGATTGTTCAGTACATATACACAATACCATGTTTACGCTTCAGTCAAAAAACACCTTACATATGAATTGTGAAAACTATATTTAACACATATATTATTTTGCTTTATAATGCTTAGATAAAAGAAATAGCCGGAGTCTTTTCTGTACAGCCATTCATCATGTGATGACTTATTTGCTATAGTACTTCCGGTATATGAAGACTAACACTTCCTGTACTTCCGGTTTAACAAGCTTAAGCTGACCTATCATTGACAATTTACATTGGTATTCGGAAACCTACACAGTGTTAATCTAACACGACATAAACAGAATTCAAATATATCGGCTCCTTCCTTTTATATTTTTCTTAATTTCCACAGAGTACCATATTTTAAAATATCTAAACTATCGTTTATGATAAAGTGGATCTAAACTATGCTATATATAATGTTATTTCTAGAAGATGTCAAGAAGGAAAGGAATTAGTTTTGGCTAAGAATATAATTCTAAATTAGGTATAATTTTATCACTGCATCAATAACATTCTTGGCTAAATGAGGGCAAATTTACGTACATGCTTTATACAATCCCGCCATGTTTTTCCAAATATCAACTCTTACACACTATTCCGTCTTTTCGTATTGCAGAGTTATCTGCTCTTGTGAGCAGTTTTTGATTGTTACGTCATTGGTTTGTGAGAGTAACGTCATCAATTTGTGAGAAGACGTAACTTCCTCACACAAACCAGTGACGTAACTCTGCAATAAGCAAAGACGGAATATAGTCACGGAGAGCACTCAAACACCCGACAATAACACCAAAACCTGGCCTAACTGGCCACATCCTGGTTATCACATTACACAGATTCAACTTAAATCACGTCTGACTGGGTAACTTTTATGTTGTATGTCATTTACCACTTCATGATAGAAACAGTTGGACCTGATTTCCGAATCATGCAGGGTAAGCTTTTAACAGGTTGTATAGTATCTGTGTAATGTTTGTAGAAATCAGTAGGAAGACAGCATAATTAAATGCAACAATGACAGGCTAAATATACTTAGAATTACGTTCTAGTTATAATTACAGGTGTAATACAACCTTGTGCACGCTATTTGCCGGTAAATCCCATTGATAAACATCGATGCGTCATTTCCCGGGATATCAAGTGTCCGTGTGTTTTTTGGTACAGTCAGACTGATAGTAACGTTGGCTTCCCTAGCTGTCTAGTAATACAGATGTACACACGTGTAGGACATCGAATAAGTTATCGTGGGAAACTTTAGACATTTATCTTTTGTTCAATTCTGCAAAAGATACTCTTTTGTCAATGTCCGGATTCATGAAAAGGATATGAGATATACAACCACAATTTTTAAACAGGAAAGACATATATGCTCAATAAAAAAGTGTTTGAGAGCCTTGCTCGTATACATTTCTTAACAGCACAAACTTAATATATAACCATACTTCTGGCAAGCCAAACAACACCTGTTGTGTTCCAGGTACTATGTTAACAATGGGCATGAACCATTGTTACGTGATAATGATAAAGTATGGCTCAACACACTCAGCACTTACTTACAATATCCATACAGGTTAGGCATGACAAGCATTCTTGCCAGTCTAGAACTACGTACCTTGAAGGCAAGCAAAACATAACGGTAATTGCAACGGATTGAATCCGAGCATATGGAGTACTAAAGAATGTAGGTAACCTAAGTAGAACCCGAAACGCACAGTTTCATTTGGTCCTATTCTTTTACATGGCAAGACTATAACGAACTGATCGATAGCAATTTGGAACACGTTAACAAGAGACCCGAGTCCTATACACAAGAAACTTTAATGGGACTCAAAGAATTTCTGGTAATACTGAAATATAAGATGGTGGTAACCATGTTGTAACAATACATTGAAAATGGGTTCTAAGATCACAATAAAACTAATTGTACATGTATAGTTGATCACCGAGAGTAAAACGTTATTACATAGAAATTGCCATTATTTACGAAATGCGCATGGGTATAAATAACAGGTAATCACAACAGAACAAAATAAGCTCTAAAGAAAGACAGGGGGCGCTTGCGTATGTCATGATATGCGGAATGGGCACTCTACATTTGACTCGTTTCGCCACTAAAGGGTGTTCAGATCAGACGCTTACCAACTGAAAATATTAGTACTACACATAATCGGTTAATTGACATATCTATGGATCTGTTAGTGCTCTGTAGAAACTTTTAACAATGAACTGTAACCTGTATAACCTTCTGTTAACCAGGTTTTTTAAGAGCTATATCAAAATATTGCCCTCACCTTCTGCTCGGGCCAAATTGGAATTATTTGGACGAGTTGATCAAAGACTGATTAGCTCGGATCGTTAAAAATCTAATTTATATAAATATCTGAACAATTTGTATCATTACGTCTTCCAACAACTTGACCATTTACGTATCATCAGCCAGAGTGTAATGCCATTTACAAAGTATTGTCATATTGTAACCGTATACACGTGTATAGTGTATACATGTATCAGGGCCCGTTGTGGTCCACCAATTATATCCAACGCAAACGATGCAGTAATAACTATTTAGGTATAATTGATGCAATCTGGGGTTACAATTTAACCTATGATATCAAACATCAAAAACCTTGCATAGTTCACACCTCACAAACATTTGCACATGCACGAGTTAACATTGTGACAGCAGCATCATTTATATTCAGCCATCACACTACAACTATGTATACATTACAGTGGCGGATCTCGTGTTTCGTTGAACTTAGTTTTCCTTCAAAACCGCATGCTTTTGAAAAGAAAGTTCTCATTTGGAAATCCTCTGGTTCTTATATGGAATCTGTTCCAAAACGTTTTGTAGACACGCCAATGTAGTGTACGAAAGTACAATTCAAGAGTCAAGTACAGTATTAGCATACCTGTCACTCATAATTAGTGTGAGCCTCAGCTTCTCGTTCATATAATAAGCGGTCACTCACTATATGACCCATCTTATTTTATGTACCTGCTAATAATGGGCAGCTCATGACCGGTCAATGCTTACAGCCTTAAATTATTCTTCATAAAACTATCCGTACAGTCACATGTCTAGGTTCCAACACATTCTAATCACAGATTAAAAAGTATTATGAGTATAATTAACCATTAATATCGGAAAACTGGGACCACGAAGTAATTTAAATGTGTTGTTTTTTAACCCGGCAAAGCATTAATATCAAATATCGATAAATAGTATATTTTTATCCTTCTATCTCAGTAGCATGTTGTCGCAAAGCGAAAAAATGTATTAACAGCGTATATTGTTACAGTACCCAATTATAAAAGTATGTGCAACGGTCAGTGAAGTAATTTGTTGTAGTGGGACATTGGTTTAATGAGTATTTAAAACTAAATTATACGAAACAATTTAAAGGTTAATGAAAACAGCCTTCATACAGTTTGGTTGAATGTGTTTAACTTAATCAGTAAAAAATGCCTGGATATCGAGAACACTAAAACTGTTAAATCGCTAACATTGAGACGCTGAGATGATGATCGGGGTTTAAATGTCACTGTAACTGGCGTGTTTTAATATCCTCAGGTTGTACACGACACATGTTTAAGGTTATCCATTTCATGGATGGACAACTAAACTCGAAACCAATAAAAGTGAACCCACGACACATTTATTAACACCACCATTTCGCAACTTTCTAGCTCCGCGAGGTAAACAAGACAGAGTCTATATTCAACAATATTTGAATAAATACAAACAACTATTAATCTGAAAGTGGAGTGGCGTCGATTGCTTGTATGCAAAAGCATGTGTACTCGTACACAACTGAATGAAAATCGCTAAGCTTGCTTGGAATAATGCCAAGTCGGGGAAAAAATCGGCCATTGACTTTGTATAATGACTTCTTCTCATATAATACATATTGTGAAATAAAGAAAGGCCAATACGGCTATTATTTAAAGTTTGATTTCGTCATCTATTTTGCGTCTAGACAGTCAATGTGTACATCTGAAGTATATACACTGCGCCAAAAGGTTTGAAGGTATTAGTTATTGCAATTCTGTCTGATTTTTCCCCCGTTAAGTACCGTAGCAAAATAAGTATCATTCTGATATATTGAGCATCTGAATTTACTATGGGCTAACGTACATTATCTTAAACGTGCAAGTCGATCTAGGCAACAATACGTGAGGCCGATGTAGGTTTTCTAGTGATGTAAGTGCAGTTACTGGTACATTTTGGCATAGTAAACGTTTTCGGGACTATCTGCTGGATTCAGACAATGGATCGCAAGTGCTCGGCAAGTGTGTGATGAAACGCCTACGACGGTCCGTAAATTAGAAGGTGGCCATTATGATCCAGAAAATTAAAGCTATAACATCAAGTTGTTTTAAACGGTCGTCTGCAACACCGTTATGTAATCAACAAAGCACTGATGCAGAGAAACAATAAACGATCATCACGTGATAAAAGATCTGAATAATAATTTTTGGATTGATAACTGACATTAAAGATTGGGGAGAATCAAAACATTTCGAAGGTTATTGCTTATAACTGGTCGTGAATTCTCATGTTACTTCACTTTACTAAATAGTGAGAGAAATTTGCAATGTTTCAGTTTATAAGGAATTGGATAATTATCACCTATTTTTTTCTCATTATAATTTTCTGTCCTGCTTCAAAAAATCAGTCATTGTAATATAGCCCACTATAGTATTGCAGTTGCATGTTAAAGCTGTTACGTATAACTGCCAAGCACACACCTTAGAGATTTCTTAACTGGAGCTGGTGAACACATCCAGACACCGAAGAAACGTATATACATTTAAACATAAAAAATATACAAAAACTCCAATGATTAATTCAACCAATGTCTATACACTGTGACAACAGAGACAATACGTGTCATTGCTGAATACGGGTACAGCTGTGAATGCCGTGAACAAATTTTGGAGAAACTCATGGATTTCGAAGGAAAAATAATTACAATTCAGAACAGTTAGCTGACTGCAAAATCATGCTGTGGTGAAGCATGACTTCTTCATCGGAAAGTTCAAATTAAGGTGAAAACGTGCCAATGGATTGGAAGCCTTACGTTAACAGTTCACGAGGACATGCCTTGCATAATGAGTAAACAAGCTTTCCGTTTAACAACAGTGGGAGTCAAATGATATGTTAGTGCACCACAGCTGATAGGTATTCTTTTTTATATAACGTTTTGTTAAATGCAACAAACGCTCTAGCGAGCATGTAATTCGTGACATAAGATTTACACAACTTCACATTTGAGACTATTTGTCTACCCTCACTATATTGTTTTCCTCGAAAATGCACATTTGATTTGAATCTATAACAGAACAGAAACAGCAGGAAAAGGATAAAACGTTTAATATACTCTGGAATATAGAGAAATAACTTAAACATCTAACAGATTGACAATTGGAGATAACAAAGATGTTTTAACGGGGAGATAACAGGTATGCCGTAACGTCAAATATACTTTGGAACGATCAGGGATAAACGAGATGCCGTAACGTTAAATATCGGAACAATGGGAGATAACCGATAACTGTAACGTCTAATATACAATGCAAATATGCTTTGGAACAAAGGGAGATACCAAGGACTGGAGTTGTATATATCCTCTATTAACATTAAATATATAAAAGAAGGTCTTCAACTTCTAATACACTCCGGAACTAAGGGACCAAACCATGACACTGCAACGTCGTTCATACGTATGCAAGCTTTTAAGTATAAGGGAGAATAAATGAGTTTGGATATTCGTGCATGTTACTTTATAACAACAGAGGGTGATAAATGCACAACTTTATTACCGAAGAGCAATAAAGGATGGAAAGCGATAAATTCTCCGCGACAAACTTTATATCTCAATCAATTTCAAAAAGGCAAATTAAGCGAACATTGTCCCATAGGCATTATAATTAATACTTAATTAACAACGTAACGGGAGTAAGCGAGTGCATGCAGGATTGGAGACGCTGAGCTTTGCTCTAGTCACCCTTTTCCTGGCACTCCTGTAATGTAAACAAAACAAGCATTATAAATCTATCGACAGCAGAATGAAAATGGAATGGTCAGAGTCGAAGTTTATGGCACCAACTAAAACTGTCACAAGCTCATTCCAGATATTTTACTTCTTGTCAGATGTACGATACATTTGTTACGGGAAATGTAGGTCGACTCTACGATAACGTGTTCGTGTACTTTGAAGTCTAAAAGGATATTAGGTGGGTTTTTTTGGAATCGTAATTTTCTTCTGATCAAGTAAAATGTGTTTTTCTTTAAAATGCCCGGGGGAGGGTAACACTATATTCCGTCTTTTCGTATTGCAGAATTATCTGCTCTTGGTAGCAGGTATTGGTTGTTGCGTCATTAGTTTGTGTGAGAAAATTACGTCGTGTTCCCAAAAAATGCTGACGTTACTCTCACAAACAAATGACGTAACAATCAATACCTGCTATCAAGAGCAGATAACTCTGCAATACGAAAAGACAGAATAGCAGTGAGGTAGTTATGAATATTTTTGAAAGAAAAAAAAACATGATTAACTTCTAAATGTTTCTAAATTGCTTGAATTCACTGTGATGATTGAACAAGACATTCTGCCTAAATGGGATTATAACAAAAAAGGAAAAAGACCTGGAATGAACTGTTTATGTACGTATTTTGTTCTATTAATATATATATTCCTTATAATGAATATCGAAATATTTTTCTTTGGCATAACAATAAATACAAGAGACAGTATAGGATTTACTAACATTTCATAGCTTTCTAATATCCATAAATTGTTAAGTTTTCAAAGGAACCTTGAAGAATGGACAGTACAACTCTAGCCAACTAAACACGATATCATACATAACATTCACGAAATACTGTAGGACAGACAATCATAAATTATTTAACAAAAATCTTTCTCTTTGAAAAAAACCTATTAGTATTACCCAAATAAACGTTTGAAGCCATAAAATTAGCAACTCTGGGATTGTTGAACTTCTGGCGTTCTATTTATCGATTTTTTTTTCATTTAAATTTTAAGAGACATAATGGATTTTTGTTCCTTTTTTTCACACAAATATACAGTAACTGTCAAAGTAAGTAATACGTCCTGATTGAATCGGAAAAGAGAAACTACACATATCCCGTAGTGACTTGCAATTGTGTACGCAAGCACTCTGGTACATCTTTGTACCGGTTCAATGTGAACCACTTATCATTTACTCAGATGGTTCATGTACCCGACAAATTATCTATAAATATCACGAATCCGGTTTGATGTGTGTGCTATTAGTTCAACTAAATCAACACATATATAATACAAACGAAAACATATAGCGACTGACCACCGGCTAAACTATCATTTTTCAAGACAAAGGGTCAGTTATTGAAATGAGATATTGAACTTAACTCACAGCTATAGTACGATAACAACCCTTGTTGAATTAATGAAAGTAACGTATGTCCGATTTATAATTGATGTCGTTGGATTTAGCCGAGGTTTTCGAAAATGAAATATAAATGAAAATAATAGTACAGTCATTACATGACCTTCCTAGTGAATTGCTATATGTCTAGAATCCTACAGGACAGAAAACTAAACTAATTTCCAGTTTTACTTCGAATTTAAGGGATAGTTGGAACTTGTGATAGTTTAACTTTAGTCTGAAATAACTGGTCGTCTCCTCTTTTTTTGCGGCGGAGACAGGCCATCTCTGCTCACTCGATAAATGAGATGGTCAGTGATTCGTGGTAAACTTAAACAGTTATAAATACATGAATAAAGCAACGTAATAACCTCACTCTTATTCCATAGTACAAATAAATAATCATAATACATGACATGTGATGTATCGAAATTTTTATCACAACTTGCCAGACTGATATAAATTGTATGTAGTTCATTCAAATTAAAATAAATTTTTGAATTCATCCAATTTTCCTATTTTTACAATATAAACATCTAGACATTTATAAATAAACATTAAAGAAAATGTACCCAAGAATCTTCAGCTTCCGTCGGAGTTGTCTTGGCGAAGCACTCGAACACGTAATTCAAGTCCTGATTGTTGTCCCAATACTCGGCGTCGTTCACACGGTACGACAGCGCGAACTCCAGTCGAGCGTGTAATCCGAAATCCGCAGGAGCCACAATACTGAAGGAGAATCGGTCCGTCGGTCCGTCACAGGAATTTTTCACGTAAGAAGCAGCAATATCATGGAAAGTTACCCATCCATTTGTGGTGTATCTCACACGGCAAAATTTGTGAAATCCCAAATTCGCCACTCGAATAATTCCAGTTATCGTCAAATTTGTGACAACAGCATTCTCGAGACAAATTTTCCTCGTCAAAACTCTTTTTAAGAAATCCTCGCAAGCACCTGGCTGTTGAAAACAAACCGTCAAATATCTGTGACCAATATTTTTCCGATCCACTTCCAACCCAGCTTGTAAGTCTTTCATAGCGGAAGGGGGTATTCTCGGAGGAGCGTCGGCATTCAGAACATGCCGTACATCCTCTAAATCCAAACCCATTGCATCAGCAAATCTCACCATTTTCTTACGTCTAGGAGTTCCTGGAGGTGTTTTGTTTGTTTTCAGGGAGGAAGATTTTCTTAAAGTTGCTCTGTTAAAACTGAATTCATCTTCTTCATCATCTGGGCTGTCTGAAGCAGCCAGGTAATCGAATAGCGACCCCTGAGACGATCCTTTTCTTATATCGTTATCGATAAAAGGCCTATCATTCACGTTCAGTCTTAGAGTGGGAAGAGAACTTGCTGGTTGTAAATCAGATTTCACATTTTTTCCCACTTTTTCTTTTAAAACAGGCACATCAATAGCAAAAGAATTCATAACTGTACTTACAGCTTCCCCAATCGAGGCCCCATGACCTTCCGATGACTCCTCAAGGTTATTCTCCTCTGGACTATTGATCGAATCCACGAAGAATTCGTCGCTTGCTGTAGACCGTCCGTTTGAACTAGTAACTGAATCTAAATCATCCATGCTATTTACATATATTCCCTCCTCACTCGAATCATTTGAACAAGTCCTTTCCCGGCCATTTTGATCAGCTGTACTGTCGTCTGCTACCACTGCCGGAGAACAACACACACCGGTTTTTACCGGCGGTGTGCAATCACATTCAGTCGCTAAATCCATCGGTTTTGAATGAATGACATCCATAAATATCTCATTATTACAAAGGTTGATTTCTCGGCTCGGATTCCACACAAAGTTTCCGCTCACACTATAGGAATCCAGGTAGCTGTCTTCAGAGTAAGAAAAATTGCGGGGTAAATAAAACTCACTCTCGACTGCTTCCTGCTCATGTGTACACGCTACAGGGGATGATGACTGCACGCTCATTGGTACATGTTACTGGGGTGAACAATACGTGTATAAACTGTGTTCCACCGCTACCTCACCAAAGTAACTTAATAACTTGTCATAGTAATACTTCTTCATAGTAGCTAGTATACGTGTGATCTATTCAGTTAAGAAACGAATGTAAACACTGTTGAAGTATGACAGAGCGAACTGTGTATGTGTGATCGAAGCAGCACCGACACGGGAAGGTTGAGTATTCCAAGGTTAAACAATTCCATAAATACCTTAATTGGGAAACATTCCAATCTGTATTCAAAGAAGTAAATCCCAGTAAGAACCCGTTCCTTAGCCCGGCCGTCTGCTGTCAGCGACACCTCCACCCGTCACTGTGTATTTCCCGGCGACCCGGCGTATATATACATGTTCCCGATTCCGGTCTGTCACGTTCACCACTAGTGTGTGACGTCAGAGGCTGTTTACAAACAAACACACGTGGTAGCCGAGACTTAACTGGAATGATCTTATTCTATTTTTAACATGGCGTATAGATCAACCAAGGTCATGACTCTACCGTACTTTGCTAGATGATGCAATATACATATAGTTAGGCTACACGTACGACACATAGATATATGTGTATGTACGTATACACACATGTTCGGCAACAATTGTCTATGAAATAAATTGTCTATGATATATATATATATATATATATATTATGTGTATGTGTGTACATGTTCATACCGCGGGTTGTACGTATATACTTTCTCATACACATTTACATTTTTGTAATTAGAATAAATTACTAAAATTAATGAATATACATGTATCTTCGTATCTAATATTTCCTACGTTTAATTTCGTATGTTTTTACCATAGCATATCAGTAAAAGTCGGTTTATTTTTATTCTTTATTTCAGCAATACCACGAGTGATGTTTAAACTGGGACTTGAAGTTAATACAGTTAGATTTATTTCCATAACATTCGATTCCACGGAAAGAAAGACAGATTTCAAGCTTGATTTTCAACTGAGAAGTTTAAATTTGACGTTCCCCTCACCTCCATCGCATGGTAATCCTATTGTAGTCTAACTCAAATTAGTTTTACCAAACTTCCGTATAAGCTATACAGTTTTGCTGGACATAACTGTGGATGTGTATTTACTTTAAATAGACAGATTTTTTATAATCATGTTTTTATGTGATAATTTGCTTACAGCATACTCGACGTAACAGTTGTGTATCTATTGAGATTCCATGTGACCTCATGCAATGAACATCTTCATATTTTTTTTGTTTTTTGTTTGTTTGATTAAGGGTTATGTCAACACCGAAAAAGTTGTTAAGAATCCAGCCGTATGTTTTGACTATGTGCATGACCGAGTAATGCGATATTCCGCCAAAGCAGTATTACTGATTGTCGATAAGCCGAGTCAGAAACTGATACATACTTCAACATAGTATTACATTTGTCACTGATGTGAAGTATTTCTGCAATTTATTTTTGTAATACATGGATCATTTTATTAATCACACGTTTGAGATGCATTTTACAGAATGGTATTTTTTTCGAAACTTTAATATTAGAGACACAAAAAAATACAGGGGTCGAACTCGGGGCCTAACCATTACCAATCGTTTTTACCTATATTGATATCAAGGAATCATGCGTAATATCAAAATGAGAAACAATGGAAGTATCCTAAACCAGAAAAGCTCCATTAAGTTGCATTGCTTAAGGCTATCAGAGTAAAAACGCCTGCTGTAAAGTGGAACTCTTCCTTCGCACTTATAATGATTCAGTAGTACTATTTCTTAAGTATAAAATGTGTAAAAGTGAACATTTTCCTGTGAATATTTCACATCCCAAAGTATTCGCAATGTGTATTTTTTCGTTGAATGACAAATCTTATTGAATTAAAACATAAATCGATATTTTACTAATAGAATCTTTCACCCCTTGGGGGTGAGATAGGAGAATCTCAACCCGAGGGGAAGGATTCTTAAGTTGCCAAACACGAGGCTTTACCGAGTGTTTGGCAACTAAATAATCTTTCCCCGAGGGTTGAGATTCCACTATCTCACCAACAAGGGGGTGAATGATTCTTTTTCTCTTACCCTGTTCTTTCATTGTGTATCATATGCACAATGTAATGATAACGTTACATGCTAAATTTAGGGTTGACGTGACGTTGATGGATTGTCGACGTGACGTCATTGTATTGTTAAAGTGACGTCATGCCATTGTTCTGAATAGGGGAATCCCCCCGTATCAACCCTAGGGTGAGACAAGGAAATCTCACACCGGTAAAAATGCGGATACACCTGTCCAGGGTAAGAGAATAATTTATCCCAACCCGGTAGCAAAACTGGTGTCAAGCGTGCGAATGGCTTCTTGATGACATCATTCAGTAATGACGTTACGGTGTAGTAATGTACCTACTAGAAATATAGCTCGTCTATACAATACAATACAATACAAGAAATTTCAGTTCCGTGTTGTCAAGAGAAACAAAAACTGATGTCTAAGCATAAGGTGCTAATGATACAAGTGGCCATGAACAATAAGGATGGAACAGGGGAGAAAAACGATTGATTAAGAAAACACCATTATTGGTTTGTCAAAGCAAGATCAACCGAACGCATAATACAATTACTGAAAGTCATTGATAAAGATCAATCAAAACTGTGTGCACATTCCATAAGTAGATTGTATGTTGTCGGAAAGAAAAGTGAAATTATCCGCATTTACTAATTTTAGACCAATCATTAAACGTGATTTTAATCTGTATGATAAACGACGACACATATAGAATGCATGCAACATAAATAACGAATTTCATTGATGATGAAGACGGAGGTAAAGGTTTTCTTTTCAAAATGTGTATTTCAGCAGTATGTGTCAAGTTTGCGATTAATACATGTATATGATAATACAAGGATGTCGGTGTATTGGACATTATTTGTTATCCAAAAGATATTTTAGCCTCATTTTGCTATTCGATACTGTAATCATTAGCTGTCAAGTAAAGAGTTCTGTGCATATTATCATTCCCTACGGTTGATCTCCAAATTACATGAGTACCTATAGGTTATCTTGCAGGTAACGGGTTACTGAAGAATTAGCAACTTGTTTGTTCAACAAAACCACTTTCATACTCATACTATTGTTGAAAAGTTGTCACTACATACTTGTCAGTGAGGTTAGACAAATATTCGTTGACAGCAGTGTCAAGTTAAACAAACTTTAATTTAAATTAGACGTTTATTGATTTTGTCAACCTGGGAATGTGGATCTGTTTAAGATTCCTGGTAAACTAAATCCTTTCGGAGGAGATGAAAAGTGTCTACCTTCACTCCTTCACGTTCATACATTTTTTCTATTTATATATAACGTACATAAGGATTTTGAAACAAGTTTACAGCTAAGTGAAAATTTATCCAGATTAATTTATGAAACAATAATATATTAATGCTCGTTTGCTTTGTGTCTAACAACGGTGTGGCCTATATACATGGATAGTTATCAGTCCAGTGTCCTCACAGGTTAAGACCCCTGCGCGTTTTCAGCCGTGCCAGCAAGAATGATAAAGGGTTACTGCGAGACCAAAGTTGTTCATCGGTACACTAGAGCTATACTATGACCATAGAACATTGAAAATCCGACGGAAATCGGTCAGTTCGTTTTCAATGTTTGAAATAATTATTTAGGAAAAATGTCCCATGAATTAGTCTCATGCAGGTTCGGCGACATTTCAAAATGTTAGAATATTCATTTCACTTTACAATTTGCATTTATACATAATAGTATAATAGGTGACTAATGAACTCTTTGTAGAATTAGGAGTTTCCCTCTATGTCCTTTTCTTAAAGGCAGCATTAAATATCCGCTGCTCCCTTTGGAACACCTGGGACATCTGTTGTTTTCTCTCATTTATCTGTCCCCTTAGTTTGTCCTTCACACCTCTGTTTAAACCTTTGCAAGAGAGTATATTTGGCTGGTTGGAGTACAATCCTGACGAGTCCTTGTTAAAACATTTCAGTGAAATGGCACTCTAAGGGATGTAGGCATTGCTCGTCGATTGATTACGAGTAACCAATCAAACCCATTACAACGTACCGCAATGCACTCATCTAACATATGTTTTGCTTTAAACGTGGACTTTGATTAATTTTGTTGCGCGAATGTGATGCATACATACATGTTTTTCCTTCATGTTTGATTAAGATGTTACACGATATGTTATGTGAAGTATGAGGCGTACAGAAATTAAATGATAATTAAAATTATTAACAGCCACATCTCGCATCGTAACAGTATCAACCAAGCGATCACATATCGTTAGATATTGTTAAAAACATAAATATAAACAATAATACAGACTTTAAAACTATGACGACGGTCTTCGCCATATTCCGCTAAGGCTACTTGGGCAATGTACTCGATTGCGTGCATAAATGGACACTCTCCGTAATGCCGAAAGAAAATAATTAGAGATTTACACATGTAACGACTCTACATAGATCGACATTTTAGAGAGGCTCACTCGTTCGTTTGAACATTTAAATGATTAAATTATGAAACATGATGTGATGCGTAAATTTTAAAAGAATAACTACATCATCAACACAGCAGATCAAAGTCCAAAATTCAGACTCGGTGTGAAATTAGTAGAACAAAAATCAAGAATACAAATTCACAAAGAGGACAAACCATTTACTCTTGAAGGGTAAACGCTTTCTGTGTGTGGAACCTGTCACGATGTATCGCATTCATTCTGCGAAATTATTCGGTTACTAACGATCGTATGACACAGTGAACAAACCTGATATCGTGGTAGCGACTGAATTCACATAGCTTGTATGACACCAGGCTGGAGCAAACTTATCCCTGAAGCTATACCTAAATTACTTCTTTGCAAAAAAATGCACAAAATGGTCTCTACAGATATGCCCTGACCCCTGTGCTGTAGGCCTCCTACTCTCGTGAGGTTTGGCTTCCTTACGTCTGTGGTGTACGCCTCGTATACAAATATTTGTATCAAGTAATATCTATATATTTGCGCTTTTACCTCCCCGATGTAAACCCTTGTGATCTCTGTCGATATGCCCGCGTACCTCTGAGATTTGTCTCGCATTCCTCTATGGTGTAGTCCTAGTGTAAAAATATTTGTATCAAGTAATCTCTAAATCTATGCATTTCTTACTTCTCTGATGTAGTGTTTCATGATCTCTGGAGATCTACCCTTTCGTCTCTATGGTGTAGGATTAGTGACCAAATTTTTGCATCTAGCAATCTCTAAATCTTTGTCTGTCTTTCCTCTCTGATATAGGGTTTTGTGATCTCTGGAGTTTTAATAACCTTGATTGTCGCTATAGTGCAGGCCTAGTGCTAACATCCGGGCCAACAAGAGTGATTAATATAAGATAAAATAAGTCGTTTCATAATAGTTGTAAAATAAATGAAGTTGATATTTTAGCGTTGACGCATTTGTATCACATACTCTCTAAATCTGGCCTTTGTTACCTCTCTGATAGGGTCTCACACTCTCTGAAAATTAATCCTTATAACCCCTGTGATGTAGACTTCATGTAAGAATATTTGTATAGAATAATCTCTAAATCTATGTCTTGCTAACCTCTGCGGTATAGGCATTATAATCTCCGAAGCTATGCATTACTTGGTTCTGTGGCGCAGGCCTCATGTAAACATATTTACTTCTATGGAATGATCTGTCATATCTTCAATTGATATGTATACACTTTTAATGTACAGCTTTGCACAAATATATATGACCTGTGTCGTAGTATGCATATGCTTACTGAATTTCAAACTGGCGGAATTAAGTACGAAAATTGTTTACATTTCTTGGTGAGTCGGTGTAAACACGTAGGTGAGACGAACAGTCCTTTACCTTGATCCGGAGTAGGTCAAGTTTAACATGTCACCCTTATTTCAGTCTAGCGTAAACAAACGCCAAGGTCAGTGATATTTAGGTAAAGGTATGTGATTGAATAACCTTAGATACATTGCCACTCTGTATCTTCGTATCACAAGTGGTGTATTGTGGGTGTCGACATATATTATGCATATGTTTATTTGTATGACACAAATATTCGATACATGCATACAATACAAAGTTATTTTTAAGTATAACGTACACCATTTTTCTAGATAAATTATGCACGTTATATCTTAATATGGTCTACATTCAATGTCTTGATATAGTGTACATGCAATTTATAGACATAGTATACATGTGATTTCTTTGTACGATATAGAAGTTATTTTAAATATAATAAACAAGGTATTTCTAACTACAATGAACATGAAATTTCTAACCACAATATATATGCAATTGACACATGTATGGGAGAACATATTTCATCCTAACATTTTGATAAATGATTTGCTTTTTTGTTGGTAGTTGTTGTCGCTGTTTGATAGTTGTCAATCATCTGTTAAGCTTTAGCCTCGGAGAGTGCTTAGATAGTTCTGCAGGGAATTCGTGAATACTATTCAAGTAAGAAAATATTATTTCAGTTTTGCATACTTACGGTCATTTGGAGACATATCACATAGAAGACCTCGAGAAGTCTTCGATAATTTCATAAACACTGTTTCAATAGGGTTCCATTGCTGTCAACACAACAATGAGGCAAATAAAAAGACAAAAAGATCAATTAGTGATGTTTTTTTTATCACAATTATCACAATATGTGTGTGCGTTTATATATATATGCAAGGTAGCACATTTAGTCTTGTGTCAAGTGTTCAGTGTGACCATTAAAACCCCACTTTATGCATATAATTATCACAATTGCTCGATAATTACGTCACGTGTGTAACACAGCAAAGTCAAAGTACGTCAACTAAAGCAAGACAGGACTACATGTAGGTAAAAGTGAAGCTTATTAATACATTCAGTCATCAAATCTTATTATTCTAAGTCAGGAATACCATTAGTTTCATCCGTCAGTTCCTTACCTCATACGCCTGCAAGACACTGGTCCATACATAAGTGACTTCTGGTTAATGCACTGTAGTATGGAATTGCTGGCAATATGTTGAAGCGCTCTCAGACAGTACGAAGTACATCCCGTCTTGCCATGCATTCATTGCAAGGAGAACACATCCCTTCAGCAATAGATAAAATACCACGCCCAGTACTAATTTCTTGCACACGAATTCGAAGCCCTTTGTAGACATTATCCAGTGTATACAACAAGAGGTCCAAAGGGCCTGTATCACTCACCTGGATATCTAAGCAATCATGGCAAAATATTCTCCAAATGAGATCCAAGGAAATATGCCAGACCCCAAGACCAATCCTTGTAGCATATCTGTATTATATTTTTTATGCCCAGCAATTTTATGTACATGGTTATGGGGTGGGGATCTCAACTTTTTCCAAGCTGTGACCCAGAAACTAGGTCCCTAGGGTTGTGGTCAGACCCCAGGATCAATTCTAATATCATGACTGCACTTGTCTCTTTTGCCCAGCATTTGTATATATAGTTTTGGGGTGGGGATCTCAACCGTTTCAAAGTTATGACCCAGGGGTTAAGTCTGCAAGGGTGGGGCAGACCCTGGGTTCAATTCTAATATCATGACTGCATTCGTCTCTTTATGCCCAACAATTATATAGTTTTTGGGTGGGGATCTTAACCATTTCAAAGTTATGACCCAGGGGTTAAGTCTCAAAGAGTTGGGCAGTCCCCAAGGCCATCCTGGAAACATATGTGCACTCATCTCTTTATAATCAGCAATTGTATATATGATTATATGGTGGGGATCTCAACCATTTCCAAGTAATTTTATTTTTTTGCCCCACCCCTTAGCCCGGGGGATCAACCCCACCATTTGTACAATTTTGAATTCCTGCCTCCCTTGAATGCTTCCGACCAAATATGATCAATATCCATGGCATAGTTCTACAGAAGAAGTCGTTTATTGCAATATAGCCAAAGTGCCCCTTTTTGGCCCCGCCCTCAGCCCCCTGGGGAGTCAGCCCCACCATTTGTACAATTTTGAATCCCCACCACCTAGGGATGCTTCCAGTCAAATATGGTTGATATCTATCTCTTAGTTCCAGAGAAGAAGTCGCTTAAAACAATATAGCTAAATAACCCTTTTTGGCCCAGCTCCTCATCCCCACCATTTGTACAATTTTGAATCCCCACCACCTAGGAATGCTTCCAGTCAAATTTAGTTAAATTCCAATCAGTGGTTAAGAAGAAGAGGTCGTTTAAAGAAATTGTTGACGGACGAACGACGGATGGACGGACGACGGACGCCACAGTATGGCATAAGCTCACCTTGGTCCTTCGGACCCGGTGAGCTTATAAACAAGCGATACAGCAAGCCCACGCAATTGACAGTCCGGTACCTAACTGACTGGTCTTAATGTACATAACCGTCCCTTAAAGGTACCGACATTGGAACAAAACAGAAATTGAATTATGGAACAATTGTCTAATCTCCCTCTGGACATCCGGATTATTATTCTTGCTAAGAAGTCTTCACTAACTATTTCTTTTAATCCGCTTTTAAATCTGATACTCCCTAATGATATATTTTATATTTCGCCGTTTATTGTTCTTACTGAGCATTTCTTTATAGGGAGTATATAATAAAATAAGCGATAAAGTATTAAAATGAACTTTGTCCTTTATATGATTCTATTGATAAAATTTGTTTCTGCAGGTTCATTAAAAGTGTATACCAATACAGTTGTATGTTAACACTCTTTACTGTGATGTTTCTCTTACTTTAATATCCATATATCATTTGCAATACATTTTGTTCAGCCGTTAGTGGGGACGTTTTTGATTAACCCAGTCTCATTATGATAGTCAATGTTTTGATTCATAAAAATGTAACTTGGTTTTTATTTAACTGAATGAAGTGACTACAAGTATTCTGTTAGAGAATCATTCTTCAGATAATCGCAGCGATACAGTTTACGGTGTCGTTATTGATACACATGTACAATGTGAATGTTTAAAATTAACAAATTTACTCTACATGTATCTGTCTTATTTGCTGAGCTAGAATTTCAACGAGCTGGGACCAGTTGTTCAAAGACTCATAAGCTTTACGAAATATCTTACAATTATTCGGGTTTCTTGTCTTAAGAAGCTACATCTGAATCCTTCGATAGAAGATTAAAATTTGAATGTTTGTTGTTTTGTTAACTTGTTAAACTGAGTAGGCATACGCAAGCTGGAGTAATATGCATAAATTAACTCTTCGAATGTATTTTAAAACATGTTATAGCTCCTCATATATGTTACATGTTAATTATAGCTGTTCGTATGCATAATTGTTACAAAACATATATAAGTGTTCATATATGCTATAAAACATGTTACATCTGTATGTTTTATAACAACATGGTATACATGTAGTTGCATATATATGTGTTACAAAACATGATATAGCTGTTTATGTTTTACACAAATGTTATATAGAAATTCACAACACATTTTTACTGTCCTTTATATTTACATGCATTTTATCCTACTTTTTATCTTTTTTTTTTTTGGCAAGCTCAAGCATGTCATTTGGTATATTGATGTAATATTTTTGTAAAATTAGAAAAAGTGTTTAAATTATTAATACATACATGTATATGCGTTGGTTTTATTCCATAAGGGTCCCCTATTGTGTTCTGTACCAGGCCACGCACATCTTTGGAGAACTAAACATACATTTTTGTTGATAATTATGTAGTTATACGAACTTCTACGTCATTCTGTTGTTTACGCGAAGCTAGTAGGAGGACGTGCTGTATTGCACAGACAGCAAAGCTATATTTAGCTGCGTATTTACTGTGTGTGACCTTCGTACCAAAACATAATATGTGTATGTGGCTAAATATAGCATAGCGGGTTGTCCTGTATCGAATTGTAAACAGATCTAGATAGCCCCGGATGTTTCCAGAATTTCCCTATAAAGAATGACCTTTATAGGAATAATAAAATTAGGGTTAGTCGGATATATAGTGTTAAGAAGTGTCTATGATATAACAAGCAATGAACTATGCTATTAACTATATTTTATTTATGTTATATAGGATTTTCCGAGTATTCCTTTTGTGTTAAAGATCAGCTGTTGAGTTGATGTGTTTTCTATATCGTGTCGCCTTCTAATGATTGGATTTCTTTATTTGACATCTCTAACATAGGCAGATGCTTGAAAGTCCTGTATGTTGAAAAATAGAATATTATTGACTGAACAAATAGAAAATTACTTCTGCTTAACACGAAACAATCATGTGGACTTCACGACATCAAGTTACAATTTGTGGATTTTAACATGTTGTTAACTTCTTCGGATGTATTGAATATTACAAAACGCATTTCAACGGTTTTAAAAATGTCTGTTCTGCCTAAGGTTTTCCTACTCTGATACAAATGTCACGATGTGTTTTGCAGGTACAATTTAATAACGCGTAATATAATTAGCACACTGCGTGGGACAAAAAGTTAAACACGAACATATTCCTTCTTCTTTCAAATCAAAATTCTTTTGAATTGTCATGTTTTGATCGACGACATTCTATCCCCAACACATAAAACTAATGAATCACAGACACATATTCTTAAGGTTCATATCTTGACTTTAACGTACTATTAAACATGAGTTAACTCATTCAAACATATAGCCAAAAATGCTAATTTTGTTATATTTCCTTTCCTCTCCACACACCTAAAAGCTACTCCCATAACATGAGAGGCCGCTGGTCGGCCTTTTTTCAATCGGATATGATTTTGCCGACTGCGACCTCTCATTTCCGAAGCACTAATTCTTTGATGCAGTTTCCGCCCGAAATCCGGGCGGAACAAAATCGGCTTGAAAAACTCACATAAGTGGTTAACAGTTCATGACAACGATGTCTACTCACGGTTTATATAATATAGATCTCATATATATGTCACAGACACAAATATATAGTATATTACGGAATAGAACACTCAAAATACATGTCAATGTCGTTGTAGCACATCTCTGACCTACATTTAAAACATGGCTTCTGGATTAATACAAATTATCAGGGGGGATTTCAAACGGAACGAAATGATACGGAGTTTGTTTGTATTCCGCTTGTGAAACATTACATGTGATCCATTTTTGTATTAACCGGAAAAATCATGGCAAATGCTGTCTGCTTCGCTTCGAATGAGGAAAAACTCATTATTTATGTCTTTGACATGAAATTTTTCTCATATAATCATGGATTCATGGGAAGGAATATTTATTGGACCCTTTTGACACGATGTATGTAAACACGATATAACCCTCTAATCCGAACTTTGAAAATGTGATAGTCAGCATCGGGAAAATCAGCTATGGGCAGTTAGAGGTTACGCGGCGCCTGTCAAAAGTTTTTCGCCGTGTAAAACCTCTAACATTGTTGGAGTAACCTAAACGTGTGTTACAATTGGTAAATTTGAACTTATCGTTCTGTGAAAGGATATACCACATGTAACAGGATGGAAACCTCGATGTCGAAAAATCGACCCCACCAATCTTCATCGCAGAAAAATAGCTTTTCTGATTGTTGTTTGAATAAATGCTTTGTATCGTTCGAAAGATGGTAAACTTGTCGTTCAGGACTATTGCATACCTATGAATTTAAAATACATTTTCCCTACGAAAACCTAAAGCTACCACTGCTATGCCCTTGGTTACCGTACACCACTACCTATGTGTTTATGTCCATGTTTACCGTACATCACAACCTATATTTTTATGTCTGTGTTTACCGTACACTACTACCTATATGTTTATGTCCATGTTTACCGTACACCACTACCTATATGTTTATGTCCATGTTTACCGTACACCACTACCTATATGTTTATGTCCGTGTTTACCGTACACTACTACCTATATGTCTATGTCCATGTTTACCGTGCACCACTACCTATATGTTTATGTCCATGTTTACCGTACATCACTACCTATATGTCTATGTCCATGTTTACCGTGCACCACTACCTATATGTTTATGTCCATGTTTACCGTACATTACTACCTATATGTTTATGTCCATGTTTACCGTACACCACTACCTATATGTTTATGTCCATGTTTACCGTACACCACTACCTTTATGTTTATGTTCATGTTTACCGTACACTACTACCTATATACTTATGTCCATGTTTACCGTACACCACTTCCTATATGTTTATGTTCGTGTTTACCGTACATCACTACCTATATGTTTACGTTTATGTTTACCATCTTTATGTCCGTGTTTACCGTACACCAATACCTATATGTTTATGTCCATTTTTATCGTACACCACTACCTATGTGTTTAGGTCCATGTTTACCGTACACCACTTCGTATATGTTTATGTCCATGTTTCCCGTACATCACTACCTATATGTTTACGTCCATGTTTACCGTACACCACTCTATATGTTTATGTCCATGTTTCCCGTACATCACTACCTATATGGTTACGTTTATGTTTACCGTACACCTTACCGTACACCACTACCTATGTGTTTAGGTCCATGTTTACCGGACATCACTACCTAAATAATTATGTCCATGTTTACCCTACATCACTACCTATATGTTTACGTCCATGTTTACCGTACACCAATACCTATGTGTTTATGTCCATGTTTTCCGTACACCACTACCGATATGTTTATGTCCGTGTTTACCGTACACCACTACTTATATGTTTATGTCCATGTTTCCCGTACACCACTCCTTATAGTTTATGTCCATGTTTATCGTACACCACTACCTATGTGTTTAGGTCCATGTTTACCGGACATCACTACCTAAATAATTATGGCCATGTTTACCGTACATCACTTCCTATATGTTTATGTTCGTGTTTACTCCATGTTTACCGTACACCACTCTATATGTTTATGTCCATGTTTTCCGTACACCACTACCGATATGTTTATGTCTATGTTTACCTTACACCACTACCTTTATGTTTATCTTCATGTTTACCGTACACTACTACCTATATACTTATTTCCATGTTTACCGTACACCACTTCATATATGTTTATGTTCGTGTTTACCGTACATCACTTCCTATATACTTATGTCCTTGTTTACCGTACACCACTTCCTATGTGTTTATGGCCATGTTTACCGGACATCACTACCTAAATAATTATGTCCATGTTTACCGTACGGCACTACCTATATGTTTATGTCCATTTTTACCGTACACCACTACCTATATGTTTCACTACCTATATGTTTATGTCCCTGTTTACCGTGCACCTCTACCTATATGTTTATGTCCAAGTTTACCGTACACCACTACCCATATGTTTATGTCCATGTTTATCGTACACCACTACCTATGTGTTTAGGTCCATGTTTACCGTACACCAATACCTATGTGTTTATGTCCATGTTTTCCGTACACCACTACCGATATGTTTATGTCCGTGTTTACCATACACCACTACCTATATACTTATGTCCTTGTTTACCGTACATCACTACCACACCACTACCTATATCTTTATGTCCGTGTTTACCGTACACCAATACCTATGTGTTTATGTCCATGTTTACCTTACACCTCTACCTATATGTATATGTCCAAATTTACCGTACACCACTACCTATTTGTTTCTGTCCACGTTTACCGTACATCACAACCTATATGTTTATGTCCATGTATACCGTACACCACTACCTATATTTTTATGTCCAAATTTACCGTACACCACTACCTAAATGTTTACGTCTATGTTTACCGTACACCACTACTTATAGGTTATGTCCATGTTTACCGGACACCACTACCTATATGTTTATTTCCATGTTTACCGTACACCACAACCTATATTTTTATGTCCATGTTTATCGTACACCACTACCTATGTGTTTATGGCCATGTTTACTGTACATCACTACCTATATGTGTATGTCCATGTTTACCTTACACCTCTACCTATATGTGTATGTCCAAGTTTACCGTACACCACTACCTAAATGTTTATGTCCATGTTTACCTTACACCTCTACCTATATGTATATGTCCAAATTTACCGTACACACTACCTATGTATCACAACCTATATTTTTATGTCTGTGTTTCCCGTACACTACTACCTATATGCTTAAGTCCATGTTTACCGTTTATGTCCATGTTTACCGTGTCCATGTTTACCGTACATCTCTATCTATATGTTGATGTCCATGTTTACCGTACACAACTACCTATATGTTTATGTCCAAGTTTACCGTACACCACTACCTTTATGTTTATATTCATGTTTACCGTACACTACTACCTATATACTTATTTCCATGTTTACCGTACACCACAACCTATATTTTTATGTCTGTGTTTACCGTATATCACTACCTATATGTTTATGTCGATGTTTACCGTACACCACTACCGATATGTTTATGTCTATGTTTACCGTACACCACTTCATATATGTTTATGTTCGTGTTTACAGTACATCACTACCTATATACTCATGTCCTTGTTTACCGTACACCACTACCGATATGTTTATGTCCGTGTTTACCATACACCACTACCTATATACTTATGTCCTTGTTTACCGTACACCACTACCGATATGTTTATGTCTATGTTTACCTTACACCACTACCTTTATGTTTATATTCATGTTTACCGTACACTACTACATATATACTTATGTCCATGTTTACCTCACACTACTACCTATATGCTTAA